TCAAAAAGGGAATGTAAAAAAAAACAATCCATTTTAAAATCGCATCCAAAAAATAAAGTACTTAGGAATAAACTTGACCAAGGAGGTGAAAGGCTTATATGCTGAGAACTATAAAACACTAATAAAAGAAACTGAAGATTATTCAAAGAAATGAAGAGACTTCCCTGGTGGCTCAGTGGTTAAGAATCCTCCTGCCAATGCAGGGGACACGGGTTCGATCCCTGCTCTGGGAAGATCCCACATGCTGTGGAGCAACTAAGCCCGTGTGCCACAACTGTTGAGCATGCATGCCACAACTACTGAATTCCATGCTCCTAGAGCCCATGCTCCACAACAAGAGAAGCCACTGCAACGACAAGAGCCTGCGCACAACAAAGAGTAGCCCCTGCTTGCCACAACTAGAGAGAAAGCCTGTGTGTAGCAACGATGACCCCAAAAAATAAATAAATAAATTTTAAAAAAAAGAAATGGGGCTTCCCTGGTGGTGCAGTGGTTGAGGGTCCGCCTGCCGATGCAGGGGACACGGGTTCATGTCCTGGTCCGGGAAGATCCCACATGCCGCGGAGCGGCTGGGCCCGTGAGCCATGGCTGCTGGGCCTGCGCGTCTGGAGCCTGTGCTCCACAACAGGAGAGGCCACAACAGTGAGAGGCCCACATACTGCAAAAAAAAAAAAAAAAAAAAAAAAGAAATGGAAAGATATCCCATGCTCTTGGATTAATTCGTATTTACAATTTTTTTGTTGCATAATATTGACCACCTAATTTACTCTTGATCTTGTATACTCTTTTACATCAGCCTTTTCCTAAGATGGCAAGCTCTTCAGATTGCCTTAATCAGGAGTCTCCAACCCCCGGGCCACAGAACGGTACCGATCCGTGGCCTGTTAGGAACCAGGCTGCATAGCAGGTGGTGAGAGGAGGGTGAGCGAAGCTTCATCTGTATTTACAGCTGCTCCCCATCGTTCACATTACCACCTGAGCTCTGCCTCCTGACAGCATTATGGTTAGTTGTATAATTATTTCATTATATATTACAATGTAATAGTAATAGAAATAAAGTACACAATAAATGTAATGCACTTGAATCATCCCAAAACCATCCCCTGCCCTCTCCACCAGCCCCCCAACCTGGTCTGTGGAAAAATTGTCTTCCACGAAACCGGTCCCTGGTGCCAAAAAGGTTGGGGACTGCTGCCTTAAGTAATGTAACGTCTGGGCTTCCAAGGCTACTTCTCCTCACGAGGATCCTAATGAACTCTCTCTTTAGCTGAACTCTCTCTCTTCATTAAATGAGTCTCTGTTGTATGGCCTCATTGAACTAAATACAAACTGGAAGGTGAAAGAAGATAGCAGCTCCTGTTTTTTTGTTTGTTTCTTTGTGGTACGCGGGCCTCTCACTGCTGTGGCCTCTCCCGTTGCGGAGCACAGGCTCTGGACGCGCAGGCTCAGCAGCCATGGCTCACGGGCCCAGCCGCTCCGCAGCATGTGGGATCCTCCTGGACCGGGGCACGAACCCGCGTCCCCTGCATCGGCAGGCGGACTCTCAACCACTGCGCAACCAGGGAAGCCCCAGCAGCTCCTGTTTGATAAAAAGGTTTAACAAAGTAATTTAAATTCCTATCTTGAATGACCTAGGCATGGCACAAGCACATAGCTCAATCACTCTAGCAAAAAAAAAAAAAAAAAAAAAAAAAAAATAAGAATTTATTTGCAACTGCAAAAGGGAAAAGATGGTTCTCATAGCAATCCTTTAGCACCTGGAATGTTGGAACATTCTGTTGGTTCATCCACTAGGAGCATAGTGGTGGAAAACCATATGAAAATACAAATTTCTGAAGAAACATCAGTTATTTTAAGACTGTCCAAAGACGATGATTTAACCATGCAGCTTCAGAGGTGCATTTATTTACATATTAGTCTGGAAACATGACTTTGCATTTAGGTCAAATGACTTGTTGCTTATTTTTTATTCCAAGTTTCCTTGGACGTGTATGAAAAGTGAAGCACTAGTTATTGTATTGGCTGTCTTACCAGAAAAGGACCTCCGCAAGCAGTTGAGGATGCCATGTGTTTTATCCATGTCATCAGATAGTTCAAACAGGAAATCAGGTAAGTTAATCCCAATAGTGGTTTGATTTTTTTTTTTTTTTTTTTTTTTTTTTTT